AACTGCCCGAAATATCTGATACTGCAATATCCTCTACTGAGAAGGCACTTCAGGGAACAGGAGGAGGAGACGTGTTTCTTTTCCCAAGACTTCACTCATAGGATCCTCTCTTTTTGCCTTTACTTCTTCTGATGCCTCTCTGTCAAACTGTGTAAATGGCTCATATAAGGCTAGGAAAGCAGCTAAAAAGCAATTGTCCAAGAATGGCAATTGGATAAGTCAGTGTCATTGGCCCAGGCCTGTATTTACTTTCTATTAAAGTCACTTTATTACCTACTATGTGGGAGATCTTACCTTTCTCTTTCTATCTGTAATTATAAGCATACAGCTCAGCTGTTCATTTCAACTTGACCAGACTTTGCTTGTTAATAATGTGTTGCAAGTCAGGTCCAGTTGCTCTTGCTAATTCCATTTTCTTCTTTGCTCTTGGCCTAGCCATTTCTGATGACCAAGGAAATAAATTCCTCTCTGTTTGGATTCTTTTCACTCATTAAAAAAATAAGTATATATTGTCTCCCTACCATATGCAAGGCATTATTCTGAGCATTTGGGATATATTTGTTAACAAAATAGACAAAGATTCCTTGTGTGTGACAGTTGGATAATAAACATAACAGATGTAAATTACACAGTATGTTCGAAGGTAATAAATACCTTGGGGACAAAAAACCCCAAGACTGTGCAAGTTATGGGTGATCTGGAAGGTCGGGATATAGGGGAATGGGCAAGTTTTGGTATTAAACAGGGTGGTTTGGGTGGAACTCATTGAAAAGGTAAGATATAATGATTGAAGGAGTGAGAAGGTTCATCAGGTAGATTTATGGGGCAAGCATGTTCAGGTCGAGGGTAGTGCTAGAGCAGAGACCTCACTTGAGGAAACATGCCTCATATATTGAGGCACAAGAACAGCAAGGAGGCTGGATTCCAAGAATGAGTGTGGATCAGAGTGTCAGGAGCAAAAGAGGTAAGAATGGCTACTGAAGGGTTTTGATTAAGAAGTGCTATAATCTAAGGTATATTTTAAAGGGATAAGTCTGGCTTCTGTGTTTTTTTTTAAACATTTTATTTTATTTATTCATAGAGACAGAGAGAGAGAGGCAGAGACACAGGCAGAGGGAGAAGCAGGCACCACACAGAGAGCCTGACGTGGGACTTGATCCCGGGTCTCCAGGATCACGCCCTGGCTGCAGGCGGCGCTAAACCACTGCGCCACCGGGGCTGCCCTGGCTTCTGTGTTGAAGGCAAGAATAGAAACAGGGAGAATTGACAGGAGGCAACAGTAGTAATTGAGGTGACAGATGACGGTGACTTGGACAAATATGGCAACAATGAGGGAGATAAGATATAGCTGGATTTGGATGTACTTCGAAAACAGAATTAATTTCTGTCAGATCTGAGGTCTATGTAATAGGAAGACAGGAGTCAAGAGTGACTATTTTTGGGTCTGAGCATCTGGAAGAAGAGAGTTGTTTTCAATTGTGATGGGAAAGGCTACAGGCAGATCAAGCTTGGGGAAGCAACTCATGAGTTCCATTTTGGACATCCTGAGTTTGGAGATACGGAGCAGACAGTTGGAAATACAGGTCTAGAGTTCAGAGAAGGGGTCTGTGGGCTACAGAAATAAATGTAAGTCATGGGCATATTGATGGAATTTAAAACTACACACCTGTATGAGATCAAAAGAGGCAGATAAAAAAGAGTAGAGGACTAAGGTCTGAAGGGTACTTCAACATTTAGAGATCAGGCAAAAGAGGCAGAACCAGAGAAAGAGACCAAGAGGGTAGGGGTAGTGAAGTAGGAGAAAAAACAAGAGAATGTGATGTCCTCAAAGCCCAGTGAAGAAAGTGTATCAAGGAGGAGAATGTGGTCAACTATATCAGATGCTATCAATCAATAAGATGAGAACTGAGAATTGACCACTGGATTTAGTAGCATGTGTAAGTCATGGTAACTTTCATAAGAACAATTTCTGTGGAGTGGTGGGGATATAAGCCTGATCTAGAGTTGGTTTAAGAGAAAACTAGAGGAGAGGAATTGGACATAGCAAGTCTAGATGATTCTTTCAGGAGTTTGCTTTAAAGGGGAGCAAACATATGAGACAGAGGCTGCCAAGGGAAATATGGCCATTAAAATACCTTGTTGTTTTTTAAGATGGGAGAAACAATGGGATGCTTGTGTGCTCATGGAAATGGTCCAGTAGAGAGTGACAATTTGGTGTAGGAGAGAAAAGGAAGAGTTGCTGAAGTAATGTCCTTGAATAGGTGAGATGTGATGGTGGGAATCTTCAGAGTTCTCTTCTGGTTGCTTGTATTTTTCCATTGGAAAAAGAATCCAATTAGCAGCTGAGACTGAGTTTGGGAAGGAAATGTTAAGGGTTTGAGAAAAGAAGGTATGGAACTGTCATCCAGGAGCATAAGTGAGTGAATGGATCTGGGAATTAGAAGTATGACCACTGGGCAGCATTAAGGACCCACTAGAGTTCCATTAGCATGGATTTAAAGTAAGATTGAGCTGTGTAGCTGTGTGTTTTTCTCTAGCCGTGTTCAGCTGCAGGTGTGGAGGTGTGGAACAGAGTTGGATTTCACTAGGTCTGTCGTCATGCCAGGTGACTGTGACAAAGAAAAGAGAGAGGCAAAGAACTGAGAGTGCGTAGAAGTGGTGGGGATTGGGGTATAAATAGATGACAGGCCAGGAATTTACACTAGGCAAGGAGGAGAGAAAGAATATCACAGAGACCACAGTGAAGCCTGCTGGGCTTAACAGATAGTGGAGGTCCTAGTGGGGTCAAAGGATGATTGGGATCATGTGAGGAAGTGAGCTGGAAAGACAGGAGGCTGGGGGTCAGTGAGTGGGGTATGTGAAACTGGGATCATGGAAGGGTTGCAGTTATGGGTAATCATAACTCTGGGTTGAATGGAGGGAAAATTATTGGAGGAGTTGAAGTGACTGAGAGACCTGGGTGTTGGAAGGATCATCTGTATGGATATGGCAATTACCAATAGTTGAGATGGCATTGGGAAGAGTGATGGTAAAGCGGGATCTAGAATAATCAAAATATGATCCCTGGGGGTCAGGAGAAGACAACAGTGTTCAGATAATCCAATGACATGAAATCCTATGCAAGACACCTATCTCACCTGCATGCCACCTGTCTCACCTCCAGGCCTGTGAGAGAATGAGGGCTGTGAGAGAAAAATCAGGCCTTGCTTAGGAAGCCTGCCAGGTCTCAGGGAACTCCGGGGGAGAGCCAGGTGTCCTGTAGGGAAAGAAGTAACAAGAATGGCCATACGATAGGTTGAGGACAAGGGAGATTTTGCTAATTATGGATTATGAACTCTAGAGGTCATGAGGGAAGAGTTTCAGAAATTAGGGAGGATAGAAGGCCACAGAATAAGGGAAAAACAAGGCCTCATAGGGGATCAAAGGCCTGGAGACCAGGTGACTTGGGAGCTAGGGAGATTGTAGAATTGACGCAATCAGGGACAAAGACACAGTGAGATCAGTCCCATTGGATACAAAGTAGATGATGGTGGCAAGACTGAGTGCTGGGATTCAGGAGGGATTTCAAGGGCTTCTGATGATGCGGGAAGGTTCAGGAACCTCTCTGAATAGAGCGTACTCCTGACCAAGCCTGGCAACTACCCCACCCTCTGTAATTTTTCACCTTTTCCAAAGGCTGCATAAAGCAGTTATGACAATTTTTTTTTTTAGTTATGACAATTCTGACTGCCGTATTGTCTACTGGTTTTGAAAGAAGTCAGATGTATTTTCCTGATTCCTGAAATTTCTGTTTCTCTAAAAGCCCTATCATCACGTCCACCTTCTCCCCATCCCAGAGTACACATCCAGGGCTCCGCTGACACTTGTCATATGGACTGCTGCCCAGAGAAAGGTCTGAGTTCAGTCATGGAGCTGCCAGCCTCCCAGATGGGCATCTGGGGAAGGGCAGGGCAGCCCCAAGGTCTGTCAGTTCACCTCAAGCTATGTCATCTATTCCCACATCTCCATATAAAGCCTCTTCCCCTCTCTGCCTGCACAATAAACTGCTTTGGCAGGAAGACCTTCCAAATTCAGGGAAGATGGCTTTCCCTCATGTGGTCCACGTTTCAGAGAACACATCTGCTCACCATCTTGGTGAATGAGATCGTGCTTCAGTCCCTGGCTGCCCAGGCCCCAGTTAATCACTTGGTCCTCGTCTTCATTCAGCTCCTCTTCTGGGCTTAGCTCTATTCTGGTCAAAAGCCAGACCCATTCCTTTGGGCTCGCTCACAGCCTGAGTCGGCAGCCCTCTAATCATCTCCAGGGTTTGCTTCTGGATGTTACCCAAGGCACTTCCAGGAGGAGGATTGGGGAAGACAGCCCAGGATGCTAATAAAAACTTGGTGTTTGCTGAGTTAGAATAAAGGATGAACTCCTGGGAAACAGGTGATGTTTCTGTTGTGCATCCATGACAGCTGTCTGAATACTAATTTCTCATCTCATGGTCTTCTAGGACCCTAGAAATCTCTGCTCTGGTATGTCCTGATGCCTTGTCTGGAAGAGTTCCGCTTTCGGTCCTACACTCACCTTAATTTACCACAATTAATCTCCCTAATATTTTAAGTATGGTAAAATGTCCATACCGGCAGTGACTAGTCAGGTTCAATAATTACCTCTTTAGCGAATATTTGCATTTAGTGAGGGAGATGTGAGTCAGCAAATTCCAAAGGCAATGGACCAGGCTGTAGGGTGGAAGACAGGATGGGACTGTCAGGACTGTTGTGGAAGGTACATGTCAGTGCAGCCAGATCTTCAGATTTGAGGGAGAAGCTAAAACAATCTAGATATTTCTGTGCGATCTTCCAATTGTAAATGTTTGGTTATTAACTTAAAAAAAATGCTAGGAAAGCCAAACAAAATATATCTTGGGATCATGGCCCAAAGTGAGATAACAGTGACCTGCATAAATTTAAACACACGTATGGTTCTTTTATAGTTGATTTTTAGTAAAAATAGCCACTTGGGTCTCCATGTCTGAAATCACATAGGAAGGGCTGGTCTAGGGCTGCCCCTGACCTTGGTGATTTGCATATATCCAGTCCATTTAGAATTCTGCATACAGGCAGTTTGTTCCTCTGTACACTGGGGTCTTGAGTTGATTGCCTGGGCCACTCAGAAAAGCCATCCAGTTCAATGAGGCTGCAATCACTCAGGTCTGTGAGGGGCCAGTGTGTGTTGCAGGAACATCTTCCTCACTGTGAAAGGCAGTTAAAGACAATGGATAAGAGAGCACTGGATGGGATGAGCACTGGGTGTTATACTATATGTTGGCAAATCAAACTTTAATTAAACAACAACAACAAAAAAAAAGAAAACAAACAAACAAAAAAGACTCCAGTGGAGTTGTTTCTACTTCTGGTCAGAGAGACCATCAGAGGTGATTATCCCACAGCAAAAGTTCAAGTCATGACCACTGGAGTCAGATGTCTGGATTCAAACCTCTCTGGTGCTAACCGAGTATCAGATTCCCCATCTGTAAAATGGATTGTTTCCCAGTACTTTCTACATAGGATTTGTTGAGATGGGGACCCCTGGGTGGCTCAGCAGTTGAGCATCCACCTTTGGCTCAGGGTGAGATCCCAGGGTCCTGGGATTGAGTCCCACATCAGGCTCCCTGCATGGAGCCTGCTTTTCCCTCTGCTTACGTCTCTGCCTCTCTCTGTGTATCTCTCATGAATAAATAAAATGCTTAAAAAAAAAAAAGATTTGTTGAAATGGAGCTGGTAAAGTGCTTCCTTAGCACGGTGACTGAAGAGTACGTTCCCACATTGGAAGAGGAGTGTGACTACATTTTTCGGATTATCTAGTATGTGTTAAAACGGAGAATTTATCTAGTTAAAGTTATTTTTACAGCCACATTTAAAAACTGGTAGGTCAGATCTGTTTCACTCATCACTTCAAACCTGCCCTGCTCTTGCTACGCTCTCTCCAAGCCATCAGATCTCCGAGTTTCCTGGGGACATCTTTTTGTGTCTGAGTTCCTTAGCTCTAGGTGGGAGAGCTTCACTAACTTTTCCCCCATTGGAGTCTCTTACCGCCCAACAGGCTCTGCTTCAGTGAGCTGTACCCCATGGAGTCCCATGCCTGGTAAATTGGCTTAGAAAGTCCCACTAAACTCCTGGGAATCAGCCTGCTGGGATGGCAATTCTCTTTTGGACTTTTGGACTTTATCTCCTCTTTGCACATACTCTTAGCTTCTTCTTTCCCTTCTTTCAGATCTATTCTGTCTCCAACCTATTCCCCCCCCCCAAAAAAAATGCTACCAAAAATTTAGAATCAAAATGTAAATTGTAAAATCTGATTGAGGTTGCTTTCCAGCTGAAGGCAGCATCTCATCCATCTTGAAAGAGGAGTCAGCCTTTCCTGAAGACTGGCCTCAGCATGGGGGTTGCATGGGGGTTCTATGGGAGAAGCCTTCTAAAAATACAAGAGAGGATACACCTACAACTGGGAGTTAGGGAGAGGTATCCTGAGTAGAGGGAAAACCTTTAGGCTGGGGGGTCAGAGTGTCTTAGAGAGAGAAAGGGGAAACAGGCCTCTGACACAGATGAAGTCCACCCCTCCCACTGTGGGACACCGGCTGCAGAGCCATGGTGGCCTGAAGTGCCAGTCTCAGAGAAGGGTGGGTGGGAAGGGGGGCTGCCTAAGAGCTCAGTCTCCTGGCTGGACTAGCATATTTATAGCACCTGTGTTCCTGGACATGTCTCTACACGTCTAGATTTTTGCAGTCTGTGGCTGTAGCATGTGTGGGGAATGAGGGGGCCACATCTTGCTGCAAGAGCTGATTCTTGGCCTTGGGACTCTGGGTGGAATGAAAGTTTTAAAGTCAAAACAAGGGGCCATCTGGGGGAACCGGAGGCAGAATGGCTCTTTCCTGCTATCTGCAAAGCAGTCGGTGGTCAAGCTCCACCAAACCGGGGCTTTCCAACACCACCTAGTGTTCTATTTACGGCAGCTGTGGGTAGGGTGAGGCAGGTGTGGATGGTGGGGGAAGCAGACCCCACCCTCCCAGTTGCCTGAGGCTGTGGCTCGGCTCTGTTTCCTCCCAGTTCCTCCAAAGGGTTAAAGCCTGAAAGAATGTTCTCTCCCTCTGGGGATCTGCACTTTGAAAGAGGAGCCCGGAGAGCACGTGGTGGCCCATCCTCTGTTCCAGAACAGTAAAACCAGAGTCCAAATGTGTAGACCCATCATCCGGGTCCTCGTCTTCATCTTTCCCTAATCAGTATGTGTCTGGCTGCTCTCAGACTACATTTAAAAAAATGTAAATAGCTGCCTTTTCGGCTTTTCAGGAACCCAGAGAACAAAGACTCCACAGGAATGGATTCTGGACATATATGAGGGAGCAGTTTAGGGCAGGCTTGGCTGGGAGGCCGCCATCGACTGTGCCTACCTGTAAAGCCGGCCCTGACTGCACCGGAATGTGAGACTGGAAAGGAGGCCACCGGCAAGGAGGGTGGGAAGATCGGGGAAAACTGAAGACAGTAGTGATACCTGGAGAAACAGAAGCATCGTTGACATTTGTCCAGCACGTGATTTTTCCCTATTTAACCTCAAGGCAGCACAAAGGAGGAAGCACTATTGCAGGGTCACCATTTCACAGATGGAACAACTGAGGCTCTGAAAGGCTTAAGGGACTTGCCGGAGGGTGACGCCGCGAGTGGCAACTTCAGTTTCAAACTCAAGATTCTGGGGACTCGCAAGGGTCGCTGGCGGCCGGGGGCGGGTGGGGGGTGGGGGGCAGCCGGGGCTGCGGAGGCAGGAGGGCGGCTGCGCGGGGGCCGGGGGAGAGGAGCCGAGCCGAGCCCGGGGGCGCCGCGCAGGCCGGGGCTGCGGGAAAGGCCGGCTCGGTGGCCCGGGGACGGGAGGCGGCCGGCCGGGCAGCTGCCACACCGGGCCGGTGACTGGGCCGCGCCGCCGGCCCCCCCTCCGGGCCGCTGCGGTCGGGCAGCGAGCAGGCCACATACCGCGCGGCTCAGAGGAAATGGCTGGAATTCCTCCCGCGGCGCCTCGCTCGGGCCGGGGCGGGCCGGGCCGGGGCGGGCCGGGGCGGGGCGGGGCGGGCGCCCGGGGAGCTCGCGCAGGCGCTGCGGGGCGCTGGCGGCCGCCGGGAGTTGGACGCGCGCCCTCGGGGGCGGGGGGGGGGGCTCCCCGGGGAGCGCTCCCCGAGCTCGAGCAGGGGCACAGGCCCGACCCCCGCGGAGAGCCCCCTCCCGGCCCAGCCTCCTGCCCCCTCAACCTGCCTCTGGCGCGGGTTGTCTGGGGGCCTTGTGGGGAGCGGGGCTGCATCCCTGCCCCTTGGGCATCGGGCCTGCAGCCCCTGGGATGCCACGCAGCGCACAGCACACACCACACACGTGGGCCCCTGCGAGGGGACGCGCTGAAGCCCTGCCTAGTGAGGCCTCTGCGCGTCTCAGTCTCAGCCTCCGCTTCCAGGAAGCTCTGGCCCCATAGTTGCAAACGTCCTAGGCCTGGCCTTCTGGGGCTTTGCTGCTGCGCAGGCCTTCCTTTACTACAGGCCTTGGGAGCAGGGCAGGAGTTGGCTTGAAGGGAGAGGCCGACCCCGCAGGAGAACGCAGGCCGCTGGGAGGTATAGGATGAGGACCTGGAGGCGGGGTGCCAGGTTAATAGCGACAGCCTGGGCAGTGACTAGACCCGAGTAGTGAGGCTGTCACAGGCTGTTCCAGACTGTGGAGTCATTCTTGGGGAGAGCTTAGCCTAGGAAAGCTCCTGTGCTTCCCCTGGACTGGACCAAAACATAACTGGGGGGAGGGGAGCATTCAATGGAGGACCTTAGGTTGGGGCCCAGTCACGTCCGCTAGCCGAGTAACTAGCCCCTGGGGGCTTGAACTGGGGCTGGTTGACTCAGGATCTGTCCAGTCAAGAGTGACATTTGGAAGGGCCTTTACCTCCTGTCCCATTACTGGAAACTCACTCCCAGGGGCTTGTGCACTTAAACTCTTCAGGAAGATCCACACTTCCTTTCTTTGGCTGGCAAGTCCCACTTGGGCTTTCAGCTCACATATCTTCTCTGTGAATTCTTCCTTGACCCTCCACGGTATTCTCCTCCCTCAATCTGCTTCCACTGCCTAATTCATTTCACCTTTCAAGTGGGATGTGACCAATTTGTTAAGTATATCTTCCCAGTTGACAATAGTCCCACAAGGTCAAAGGCTGATGAAATCTTACTTACCTTTGTGGACTCACTGTCTAGTACATTGCTTGCCTTTCTGCAAAGACACTTTAAATGTTTGTTGAGTGAGTGAATGAAAGAATGAGAAAAAGAGGAAGGAATTGTGTGCACAGGTACAGACAGAAGCAGAGATCACAGGAAAAACAAACCGACGAGGATCCTGCTAGAAAGCTCTAGTCTTTGCTTCCTGTATATATATAGAGAGAAGCTAATCTCTGGGCTGTTATGTCTTCTCTCACCTGCCACCCTCAGGTAGGTCCAGTCCAGATGGCCTGACACCATTACTTACCCCAAACCACTGTGACATTCACATGGTGATCTGAACCTCAATCCTAATGCCCATTCTCACTTTTTAAAGAAGATTTTATTTATTTATTTATTTATTTATTTATTTATTTATTTATTTATTTATTTATTTTAGGGGAGGGGCAGAGGAAGAGGGAGAAGCAGGTTCCCCGCTGAACAGGGAGCCCCTGATGTGGCCTGATCTACCCGCCCTCTCACTTTTTTACCCTGGCTTTAGGTTCTGGGTTTGGCTTTGTTAAGATGTGCCATGTTTCTCTCTCCCACCCTTCCCCATCTCCACATTTCTCTGCTCTGGATTCAGGAGGGTCTTATTCCACATCAAGTGGTGCTGCCCACCTTTTCGGGTGTCTGGGGCACACAGAAGGTGACACCCTGGCCCAAGGCTGGGAGCAGTGATGGTGGTGACCCAATGTACCTCTGAAGTGGGATGACTTCAAGCTTGGAAGCAGGGCAGGGACAGAGTTTCCCAAACTGACCCACACCATTTCAGAGTCCAAGTTACCAGCTTCAATTTCTGCCCTCTCCAGGGGCTTCTGAGAAGCCAGACAAAGGCCTGGGGAGGGACTCTCCTGCAAGTCCCTGGGAGGAAATGGAACCAGAATCAGGCCTGTCCTAATGCACTAGCCCTTCCTCAGGCAGGTCTGGTGGGTGTCAGCGGAACTGGGGAGGGGCAGGGGATGAGGTGTCATTTCCAGGGCTGTCCCTGGATGCTCACTCATGAGAAGCAGGCTCAGGAAGCCTTGGCCGACCCTCCATACAGACATAGGCAGACAGAAACACAGACAGCTCACAGTGACAGTATTGGTTCTGGGAATTTTGGAAGTCAAAACCCCTACATTTTTCACAAGAAAAAGGAACAGATTTTGGCATCTTTGCTCCAGAAACAGGAACTGACCAAGACAGTGAGTGACCTCTGACAATCACTTCCTCATCTCAGTGCTCAGAAGGGGGTGGGTTCCCTAAGCCCTTCTGTTTTCTCCCCAGGCTTCTGTGGGCCCGAGCCCTAGGGTTTTATGGAACAGTAGAGGGGGGGGGAAGGGAAGTAAAAGGGAAATAGGCATGGCACAGGAAAGAATGGGAGATATTTTTAAAGCGGTGTGTCCTTGAGATTCGAGGAGGCCAGGAGGCCGATGGAGATGGGATCCGGGCCAGAAGGCATCTAACAGGTGCACAGTATTGCTTTCATCTCCTCATGGAAAGAGCATCCATGTTGTGTGTCCCTTAAGAGCTCGCGATTCCTTGGACCTGTATCTCATAGCACCGAAGTACAGTAAACACCCTTACCTGTATCACCTCCTCTGCATTGATTGAAGACATACTACACATCAAACATGTTGTTAGGTACTGAGTGAATAAAGGACAGCTTTTTCCATTGCAGAATTTAGACCTGAATAGAGGAATTGGCATTCAAATAAGAGAGCATTAGGAGAAGGAAGCTGACAATAACTATTGCCAAGAGAGGAGGGAGAAGCCATATCAGGTTGGGGTGGAGTAAAAAAGCCTTAGGAAGCTGGCTTTTGAGTGGGCCTTAAAAGGCACATGGGCATTTGCCATGTAGAAATGGGGAAAGAGGGCCTTCCAGGGCAGGAAGGAAGTGCATCAACAAAGGTGAAGGGGAGGTCAAGGGCAAGCATGTTCAAGGCACTAAGGCATAGGGCAAAAGTGGGTACAAAGGAGTAATAAAAGAAATGACTGAAAAAAAAAGAAATGGCTGGAGTAGGAGGTGGGATCCATTTTGTGGAGGGTCCTGAACATCAGATTCAGGTCTGTGAGATTTCTGAGGGCCACGAGGAGGACTTGATGGTAATGACATGACAAATCGACAAATCGTGCTGCTGGCAGCTCAGAAAGAAGTGAGGCAGAGGGGAGGACGGGGAGGGAAGGGGAAGCAGCCAGACCCATGTGTGATAACTCAACCAGACCATTAAAGAGTTTTATGTTTCCAGTCCCTCCTATGAGCAACTGACCTGAAATGGGTTCCATTGAGTAGATCTTTGTTGGTCAAAGGTTTTTGGTATAAAGCTCTGAGCATCAGTTCTCCTATGGGAGCAAAGTGGGTATTGAAGGTGGTTTCTGTGTTTCTGTGTGAAAAGGCCAGAGTGGTAATTGCTGTGGGCAATTGGAGGCCTTCCTCTTCCTAGACAGGCCAGTGAGGACTGCCTGTCCTAGCATGGGGAGCATGAGTAAGGGAGGTCACAGTGAAGCAGCTGGGGTGGAGAGGGGTCTGGGAGGAGGTGTTAGGGGCCAGAGGAGCAATGGGAAGAGGTCTCTGAATAGACCCCACTGGACCCTCTGCTGCTCTGTGGCTCTGTCCTTTTTTTTTCTTTTTTAAAAAAGATTTTATTTATTTATTCATGAGAGACAAAGAAAGAGAGGCAGAGGCATAGGCAGAGGGAGAAGCAGACTCCCTGTAGGGAGCCTGATACAGGATTGATCCCAGGACCCCAGGATCATACCCTGAGCCAAAGGCAGAGGCTCAACCACAGAGCCATCCAGGTGCCCCCTGTGGCTTTCTCCCTAACAAAGCACTTCTCACAAGAGATGGGAAGGAACTTTCTCAGTAATAGAGAAAGTTGTATTGGTTGTTGGATTTTTTTTTAATTTTTATTTATTTATGATAGTCACACAGAGAGAGAGAGAGGTGCAGAGACATAGGCAGAGGGAGAAGCAGGCTCCATGCACCGGGAGCCCGACGTGGGATTCGATCCTGGGTCTCCAGGATCGCGCCCCGGGCCAAAGGCAGGCGCCAAACTGCTGCGCCACCCAGGGATCCCTGGTTGTTGGATTTTTAAAGTAAGCTCTATGCTCAAAATGGGGCTTAAACTCACAAGCCTGAGATCAGGAATTGCATATTCCACTGACTGAGCCAGCCAGGTGCCCCTGGGGGTTGTGTTTTTTAAATAAATTTTATTTATCTTCCTAGATTGTGAATGCCTACAGAGCAGAGGTGGTATTTCCCACACGTCCTTGTGCTCACTAGGCACTAAGTAAAAGCAGAAGGAAAGAATCAGCGTCAGACACCACATTATGAGGGAAGTCTTAGAGGAGACAGCAGTGACTAAGTTTGCTGTTTTAGCTTGAGTCCCCTTCTGGGCTCCTCTGTGACTTCTGTGGTTGTGGCTGACATCCCCACCACTCTGTACTTCTCTGCATTCCCCCGCTCCTCCTGCCCACTCCCGCCATCTCTCATTTCTCCCATGGAGCATGTTAGCATTTCAATTCAGTTCATACATATTTATTATTTCGATTTGGCAGGTTCCCTACTAGATAGGGGAACACAATGGTGAATATTGCTAATGATGGAAACAGATAAAGACCCTAGAAGGTCCTGGGGATCTCTCCATGGCCTGATGGGGTCTGAGATGCTACTTGGCTGAAAGAGGCAGCATGGTCCTGGCTAGTTATGATTTTGTGGCGCCATCTGCTGGCCATCTGTAGTCACGTAGACAGGGTTAGGTGTAAATGTCGACCCAAAGAAATGGACTATTAAAACATAGAAGACAATGCAGCTGTGTTCGTACCTAAAACATAT